ATTGGGTAAAAAACCTAAAATTTAGATTTCCAATCTTTAATTTTTAATGACTTTAATTTTGTTATTTGCTTCATAATTGGTGATTTGGTGAATGCTTTATGTTTATTTATGTTAGGTTAATTTTGCAATTTTGTAGACAAATGGAAATGTTAGGTTAATTTTATAATTTTGTAGGCAAAATAAATGGAAATGTTAGATTAGGCAAATGGAAAAGGTAGTTTATGACCTCAATTCTACCTAAAAATCCATCATGCTCAAAAGCCATTTTATTATTTATACTTGAAATTAACATGATAAACTATTGATTTTTATCTTGTTATTGTTATTGCTAGAAAAAATGGAAAGATTTTTTAAGGGGTTAGATTCGTAAATTGGGCCCCTTACAATATATTTTTCTGCATCCACCACTGGTATGAGGTGTGGTGGCGAGATCAAGTCTCAAAGCTTATTAGTTATTGTGAGGTTATGACGTTTTTTTTTCAAGGTGCAACTTAAGACGACAAATATTTATATATAGTATATATGCAGATGTCTATGTGAGCCAACGTATTGAACAATACTGATTAAACGAATTAAATTCATATAAAACTATAAACCAAAGAAGAAACATGCATTCATAATTTGGTATCAGATATATCATATTAGGATGGATTGGATTAGATGTTACTTATAAAGAAATTATTCTTCCATGTAATCTTCATCATCGAACTTCAATTCAAAATATTTATCGCCTTCAACTTGTGGTTAATGAATTCCCGCTTTCAGTGAATAATTAGAGTCATTAGTATTTGTATTAATAAGCCATAATTTATATAAATAAAAAGTAAAAAAAAAAAAAAACCGTTCACGCTTTAACACACCTTATAACCTGCCATAACGCGTCATAAACCGCCATAACTCGCCATCACGCGTTGTACTGCAAGCCACGCCTTAGAGTCAGGCCACGAGCTTTAACGTGGCGTCGAGGCAGTGCACCATAACGCGTTTTTTAGAAACTTGCTACTAAGTGGTCTTTTTTAAATAAAAACGGACATATTGTTATTAAAAAATAGTTAGTTAGATATTCGTGTAATATAGTGATGTGTAAATTTTTTATTTTAAATCAAAAATTAAATATTCATTCAAAATTTTATATTCAAAGAAAAAAAAATCTGAAATTTACATTTCAGCAAAAGAAGACTACAACCATGCATAATCATATAAATCTGTATATAAATGACTAAATATGTTAAATAGTTTTGATTTTTTAAAATGGATCAATGGTGAGATGAAGTTTGTTAAATTCAGGCACCTTACATTCATAATACTTAATGGTTCAATTGGTATATGAATCGTTCATCTTTTAGGGTCCCAGTATCAATCAAGGGTTGACACAACGCATGATTATCCTTCCTTTCTCACACGTCAAATTTGTTGTACGCCTCTCCTCATTACATATGTTGTTTCTTATGCTCGTGTATCTGTTGCTCGTCATCGCTTGTGTTTGAGCTGCTCGTTGGTGGTAGTCGTATCCTCTGCTTGTTGATGGTTATCGTCTTCTTTGTGCATCGATTAAGGTTGTTGGTCGTCTTCTCATCTCCTCAACTATGTGTCTTGATTATCTATGTTTTTCAAGCCTCTTTGTTTTGATCCCGGTTTACAAATGTCAACATTACAGTTCTGTTGTTGTTATGATGGTTTGGTTGATACTAAGGAGAACTAAATAATGGTATTGTTGGGTCACCTATTGATTTTGGTGATGATCCACTGATTTGTTTATCTATCCTATCAACACTTAATAGTTATTGGTTTCTTTGTATATTGGTTTCTTGCTACATACTTAAAGCCATTGGCAAAATCGAAGATCAACCGATGTGAAGACAGAAGGTCACCAATGTGGTACTGTGGATCAACTGTCTAAATTACACACAAAGACCCCAAAGTAGCTGATTTAAAGATCGAAGATATTTTGAAGCTACTAGCAGATTGAAGGAATATCTTCATGCATGGAAAATTTGTAAGTAGCTATTTGAAATTACTAATCCATCCAAATAAGATCTCCCTACCGACTGACCATATCTCCGCAAAAGTTTGTCTCTGCATGAACAGTGTTGTATGCACACGGAGTATAATGAAAATGAGATATCAACAATGGTCAAGTCAACCCTTGTCTTCTTATCCTCAGATGACAAATGTCCTCATGCATTTAATTTTGAAGGTAGTATAAAAGGCAATATGCATATCCCATGGAAACACACTTCCTTGAAAGAATTACTAAGTGCATTCTCAAAGGCAATCAACTCTCTTCTTCTACTCTTCTACTCTCCTGTATGTGAAGAAAAATCTTAGTAATCTTCATTTCCTTGCAAGTACTATTTGTGTTGTTCTTGTAAGTTCTTCTCTTTGTAAGATTGTTTAAGTTAGGTTATTCTTTCTTTCTTCCGCAACAATCTATATTGTATCTGTGTGTGTTAATTCATGATATACATCAATAAGAATTAAAAAGTTGAAAAAAATGTATGTGTAATCGTATTCACCCCCCCCCCCCAATTCTACAATTACATTATGTCGATTGTCATCCCATTCAAGACCAACATGTATTATTGGATTTTACTTCTAAATAGTGTATGAATTTCAATAGCTTATTTATAACATGTTGTCAGCCTACCATCCACTTTTTATGCCATTTTTTTAATGGCTTCAGGTTTAAAATTTTTGTTCTTGATGACACTGAAGTAACAAAGCAAATCTATAGAACTTCATGTTTAAATTCCAATAACTTATTAGGCATTGGGTTCTAATGGCTTGAGCTTGGAAAATGAGTTCTTGTTGTCACCTTCTAATATCTACCAAATCGTACATTAATAGTAGTTTTTATATTCATATTTTCATAACCTTCTGGTACAAAGTACTTATAATAGTGTTGTGTAAAAAACGGTTGCTTGTAGAAGAAATGGAAACATGTATTATGACAGTGATAGTGACAGTGATCAATGATTGATGGGAAATAATACATACCTCGTGATCCTATATCTGAATGCAATAATATGTGATAAGCTACATGTATTTTGTCACATCGATAATATATGCAAGACTTGATATACTTTGTTACCTATTTTGTCGCATTGTTAATGGTTTTGCGGCTTACGATATGTTTTGTGGCTGTCTGGTAGGTAAATAAACATCCATAATTATTTGGATAAATATGTAGAAGTTGCATATATGGGTCCTTCTTTACTCAATGTTTTAGCCATAGACTCGTTTTATAGGGCATGAACCTGCTCCTTTTTTGTTGGTCCACCTCTGTGGGACAAACTTTCATGTTTTTCATTATTACATTTGCCATTTTTAGTGAATACTTCAAAGATGTTGTGCTGTTGAAATTTACGGGATTTATTTTAATGTTCTATAAGATAGCAGTAAGTGTCCCGAGAGTCGAGAAGACAAGGATCAACAAGGACAAGGTAACTATGTAAAATCCTCTAGATGAAGTTGTTCATCTATATCTTTAATCTTTCAATACAGTATAGGTTTCCGGCTTGGCATTTGCACTGGAATTTTATATTTCAAATGTAATACATTTCAGTGTTAAATGTTCCATTTAATGTAAGTATTTCAGATTGTTCAATTAGTATTAAGTTGGTTAATGTTTTCCGCTATATCTGGTTATATGATGTTTATGAGTTTCACTTTATATTATCTTTGATAATCAGTAATTCTCAAAGCCTAAGAAAGTACGGTGTAACAACTAAAAACGAGGTTAGTTAAGTTGTTAACGCTAAAATAATAATATGCAACTAGGTCAATTAGTTCGTTTAAGTATAATGAGGTGAAAGAAGATACGTATAGATTTGCTAACTTGCAAGTAAATATATTTGAAAAATGTAAAAAAAAAAAAGTTATGATAGTTTAGTGGCACTTTCATATCTAGACATTTTAAAAAAACTAAATCATAAGGGTGGTGTCTGATTGGTTTGAGTTTGGGTTTCACAAACCAAAAGTGTCTGGAGGTATCAGGTTCAAATCCAATGAAAAATAAAATCCCTTTGTGTTAACGGAGGTTCAAATGCGGGGACTTCGGGTTACCCGTAAAGCAGGTGGTCGCTCTGGGATTAGTCGGCTCGCATAACGAGTTGGATATCCAGGTTAATAAAAAAGAATTTATATTTTTTTCCTTAAGTAAAAAATCAAAAGTTAAAATCTTTAAATAACATTTAGAGGGTGTTTGTGATTGCTTATAAAAACAACTTATTGACTTATTCTGATGGCACCGGTAATAAGTACTTTTGAGTGTTTGGATAAACAACTTATATCGGTTCCAAACCGGTAATAAGAAGTTTTTTAAGAAGTTAAACCATTCTTATTTATAATAAGTTGAAAAGGACTTTTGTAGAAAAACATAAGTTGTTTCAAATAAGCAATCTCAAACACCCCCTTATATTTTATCAATACTAAGTTTTTTCAACTTATGACTTGTAGCTTAGTTGGTGAATGAGTGAGTTGATTTTGTTTAAATACAAAACAAATCATGGGTTCGACTCGTGCCCCTCCGCTCCCACCAAATCTCAGCCGCTGAATGAGTCAAAGAATCAGGGATGGACCCAGTGTGGTGGCTACGGTGGCACGTCATAAGCTAAAGAAAATTAGGTTCATGAAAGGTACAACCGTACTGTTTTAGAAGGTACAACTCTATGAAAAAAAATTCATGGATCTGTCCCTACAAATATGTCCCCTCCTCTCTTTAACGACAAGTTCCTTATGCACTGGTTGAAATTGCTGATAATAAAATTTCTTTCAAGATTTCGAGATTTGTAATGTTTTTAAATTGTTGTCTATTTAGATTGAATATCTACACGGCTCTTGCAATACTCCAAAAGAGTCTGGCATTCACTTGATACATATTTTTTATAAATAAAAATAATTAAATGTATTTATAATTAATGATTATAAGACCATACATTCTTGTTAAATACCTCAGCTTTATATTACTTTTAATATTTAATTAATAATTAAATATTTAATTGTAGAATCTTAATACATCACCGCCTAACTTTCATTTTTCCCTTTTCCATGTATGCTGTTGATGTACGGATAAGGAAAGACAGAGGGAAATCCCGTGCCGGTGATCTACAAAACTTGCCGGAATCCAAAATTCCGGCCAACATCTTCCCTTTCTATGAAACAAAATCGGAAATCTCAGAAGGAAATTACGTTATCTCATACTATAAGATAGCTCCGATCGAGTTAATCAGTTAAATAAATTCAAAATTTGCGGTTCTCCGTCTCCTCTTCCTCGTGGATTATGATTGTAATCTCGGAAAACAGCATCCAAACACGTCGTAGTAACGGAATCTTCGGAGTTCATCGAGGGACTTCCCAGTCGCTGTTTCTCCGGCTTCCCTTTTTTAGCTAGAAAACTCTGGTTTAGATTCAGATCGAGATCCTGTAACTGCGTCATGCTTGATTGTGGCTCATAGCTTCGCCGGCGTTTCTGTACCTTAGATCGCGAATGCGTAATTGGATCCTGAAGCTGGAACATGTCAGTGCACATTACATCTGTTTCCGATGAATCACCGAGTTCCGGCGTCGCTGGATGTCCGTTTAAAAGCTCCGGAATCGGTCGTAACGTACCGCCTCGGAGGATCGTCTCAACTGACGCCTGACAAACGTGCCAGTTGCCTGTCCATAAAAGGCCGACGGCACCGTTCACTGGATTTACAGTCCGGCCAGCAGCTTCAAATAGCAACGACTGAAACAAAGCTGTAAACACAAAAAACAACAGTTGATTTGTATCAGTCTCTTTTTTGCTTCATAATCCTTCTACAAACCTAGCATTCATAACATTAGATTCAACTCCTTTCCTTAATCCTTATCATAATAAATCAACAGTTTACTTACATTGACGTTGATTATCAGGAACGGCGGAGATGAACGACATCAGACCGGCACGGCCGAAGAATTTGGCGACGAAGACTGTGGCGTAAGCCTGAGATTCAGGCGTTTGGATCCACTGTAAACACGGCCGGAGGACACAATTCTCACTACATCCCTTTCGAAGAACTCGACATCCATTGCAACTCATCCTTCACAAAATCCAGAGCTCTATTCCAACTGATCCACAACAAGAAGAAAGGGGAAATTGATGATTGAAATTAGGGGGTAATGGTTTATATAAAGGGAAAGATGGTTTAACCATGGTTGAGTTAAGGGGTGTTGGAGTAGTGGGTGGGTGGAGAGAGTGGTTGGGTTTAGATTCCAAAGTATTGGGCGAGAGCGGCTCCGTGTTTCCGCGAAAGGGTGTTCCACAACCGTTGGATTTGCCTTTCACTTTTTCTTAAGGATATTTTCTTGATGGCCTTTCGCTTTCCTTATAATGGATAAGTTCTTATACCGATTTTAAAAAGCTTTTTCATTCGAATATGATTTCATGATTAAATTTTATTCTTATGATTTTTAAAATAATATTTAATATGTCGCTATAAATTAATTTGGGTAAAAAATGATTAATTTTAATTGGATTCATACTAAGGGGTTGTTTGACAGTTGCTGAATGGTTTGGTACAGAATGATTAAGTGCTCAGAATAATTAAGAGACTCTCATTATATAATGCAAAATGAAATATAATTCTTTGGTGATTGTTTATAATGAAATTAGGACGCTTAATAGTTAAGGGATGCTCACGATACAAAATCATTCAAGGGTTTTAAAACCATTAAGAGACAAACTTTTTTTGTCAAACAAGATTCACCTTTTAATGATTCAGATGTTGCTTTTTAATGAAACTATTAAGAGGTAAACAAACAATTCATAAATTGTCTTCAAAGAGACCAATGTGAGAGACAATTTCTTTAGCCCCACTCAGCGGTTGAAGTACGGGACGGGACAAGACGGGATTGAACCCAAGACCTATCTTTTATTTGGACAAAATCATCTCATTTTTTTGTCGTCTGAACTAATAAAAAAAACAGCTATAAATTAATTAGAGCAAAGATTTTGAATTACAAAACATCTATGGTAACTAATTTCATTAATATTTTATAATGGTTGATGATGGATAATTGGTACATTGTGACAATATTTCGAACATATTCTAAAATAAAGAATAAGAATTTAAAATCTCTAAAAAAAATTATAATCAACTTAATTTAATTTCGTTAGTGTGAAAAAAAATTAAAACACTTATTTCTTTTTTCTCATATTAAGTTTTAGAAAATCATATAACTTGATGTTTTCTTTTTGCTTTTATTTATTTATTATAGAGTGAATTGTGGATTTGATCCATGTGTTTTGATATATATTTTTTTACTAGGGTCCTATGACATGTTTATTGTGAAATTGGTTCTTGTACTATTCAATTTGTTTTAGCAATGGTCTATCTGACTAACGCTTCCGTTAACTCCGTTAAATCAAATGTCATTTTACCCTTTTTGCCTAATCTTTTTTTCTTTTTCCTATAAAAATAAAAACAATATTTCTACACACACACACACACACATATATATATATATATATCAAAATAAATAAAAGAGTGAATTATGGATTTGGTCCCTGTGTTTGATATTTTCTTTGAGTAGGGTCCCTATGGTATATTTATTATGGATCTGGTTCTTGTGGTATTCAATTTGTTTTGGTCATGGTCCCCCTGACTAACGTCTCCGTTAAGTCCGTTAAATCAAGGGTCATTTTTAGCCTTTTGCCTATTCTTTTGTCTTTTCTCTATAAAAAGGTAAAAACAATATTTTTACACACACACACACACACACACACATATATATATATATATATATATATAATACTTAGGTTTTAAATGGATTAAAGAGTGACATGAGTTTAAGCTTGAAGTGTTGATTGAGCTTCGAAGATGATAGATACATATTAAATGTCAAATATTGGGCCTTGGGAACGTCTAAAAAGAGTCGTAACAAAATTAACACTGTTCTAAAATGTTGCATCTTTACAAGTTACATTAAAGTTCCAACTATTTTTCATATTTTTTTATGTGGATTCAGAACTATATATAGTAAAATGACTTTTCGTAATTTGAAAAGTGAAAAGCAGTTTAGACAATTCAAATTTATCATACTGTCACATTATCTGGCTGAGGTTATCTCTCATCTACTGATATAATAGAGTGTAATTATTTATAACAAGTCTCATTTATTTTCTTTTGGTGTTAATGTTTTTTGATTCATAAAACTTTATGAATGAATAAAGTTGTGACAAAATATAATACAAAATCATTTTTACGGGGAAAATACATTTTTTTTTTCTATTTAAAGTTGTTTAAAAATATCATTTTTTTAATGAACAATTTATTTACTAAGAGGTTGTTTGTTTATCTCTTAATAGTTTCATTAAGAGGTAACATTTGAATCGTAAAGAGTGAATCTTGTTTGACAAAAAAAAGTTTGTCTCTTAATTGTTCTAAACCCCTCTGAATGATTTTGTATCTTGGATCTCCTTTAATCATTAAGAGCCCTAATTTCATTGTACACAATTATCAAACAATTATATTTCATTTTGCACTATATCGTGAGAGCCTTTTAATCATTCTGACCACGTAATCATTCTGCACCAAACGATTCAGCAATTGTCAAATAACCCCTAATTAATGTATTTATCAGTTAACAATTATTATAAGATATTTGTAAAATTGGTTATTTTCTGAATTTTGTTTTAATTCATTTGTAACTTAAGTCTTCTCCATATATGAAGATAGAAGATCCAATTTATTCGTAGTTACCGACTATACTACTTCCCGATTTTTAAAAGTTAAAATATGACGGTGAAATCAACAGTATTATCTTGTCTAGATACAAAGTGGATTACAACTGATTAGATTTTGTTTTCTCTGAGTAAAAATTCATTGAACACCTTAATATCTGATGTAGTTTGGTTAACAGATAAAATATGATTTCTTATTTTGGCAAAGGACTCTCAATTATTAAATCTGTTTTCACTTGGGAAGTGTCAGAAATATCAAACGATACTTGATGCTTTACGTTTTTGTTACTAGTGGTACGCTAATATATGGATTCGAGGACCATAGTTTTTATTTTCTAGTTAGAATAAGAATATTGCGTTTGTAATTAAATAACCAGAAGTTGAGTCCAATACACGTATGTCTTACATAAAGTAAACGAGATGATAATTTTCTAAAAACAGTTACAACAATCGTACTTCGTTTATCCGCTTGTAGTCAATTTCATTAGAAGGAAAACTGGAAAAGGGTAATCAAAATTTAATTATCAGTATACTTGGTTTTGATTAAAAGGATTATAGTCGAATAAGTACAAAATTATTCACGGGTTTCAAAGAAAGATCCCAACTTGAGCATTATTGAAGGATGGTTTGGTAAGGGGGATGTTCATATGAGAAGTGGTAACTATTTCAGAAGTAAATAAGTGATCATAACCTTTTATACGGTTAAGATCGGTCAAGAAATTGCGATTTTGACTGGTCAAGATTTGCGGCTTTAACTGGTGAAGCTAAAAATAGAGGGGTAGTTTCGTAATTTTTACAGGTAGGCGACAAACAAGGGCTTATGTAAACCCATAGTTTATACGTGAATCAGTTAATTAGTTTATATGTGAATCAGTTAAATAGTTCATATGTAAATTATACGGGTTTACATATGAACATATAGTTCATATGTGAATCACACATGTTCACATATGCACTTGTTTTGCCGTCTATTTGTAAAAGTCATGGAACTAACATTCTATCTTACGCATATCATGCGAGGAATTATCTGGTATTTCACCGTTAAAACCGCAAATCTTGACCAGATGAAAGGTTATGATCACTTCTCTACTTCTCAAATGAACCTATAGCTAATTTAGTATTTTTTTTATTACTTATTGAAAACTTTTATACAATTAGTTATTGAATTATTTTGGATAAACTCGGCATAATTTTAGCAAATCAGCTAAAGCAAATTATCAATAAATATTCAGATCATAACCTTATTTCCATCAAATAATACATTTTTTTCCTTGCATTTTTGCTTTAAATTTATTTAATTAATTTGGTTAAAGTCAATGTTTAATTAAGAAATTAATAAATTTTTTATCTATATTATATTATAAAACATTTGACAAAAACTTTTAAAAACAACTTTTTATGCATAAAACACTGTTTATTAATGCATGTTACTTAAAACTCAAGGTTACAAGTAGATTGTGTCTAAGTACAACTTATTAAAGCTTCATATCTGAATTCGTGTAACTAACTGCAGATAAAAATAATCAAATACAGGATAAACATCTTATTTTAAATATAAAAAATCTTAAATATAATTAGGATAAAYATTRAGTTCTAACAGAATACTTAATTATTATCTCTATAAAATGTTATATTATTAAACCAAAAATAAATTATTTCATTATTAAACTTAAATTAAATTATAATTAAAAAATAAATTAAGAAAATTACATAAGAAATGAGAACTTAATAGTTGATTTGATATTTACATTGATATATAATTTTTTTCAAATTTTTATGATATATTCAAATTTATATTTTATTCAAAAATAAAATCATTATTGTTTTCTTAAAAACACATAAAATCGTATTATAACATCGAAAGAGACAAAGAATAAAATAAAACATTAAAATCAAGATGTATCTCGCTGTATTACACGAGTTCTCTTATAATATTTAAATATGTAGTTAAAAATATAAACTAGAATAAGCTTTTAATTTATTTGAATAACCATATAATTGCAATTATATGTGTACGACAAAATTCAAAGTAGGGAAAAATAATTCATGGATGCCATTGATGGACTCCACTCCACCATCATCAAACTTTTTCTTCTTTACCTACTTTTTCAAGTGAATCGTCGGTGAAATATGTTTAATTAATCATAATTTTTTTATTATCAGTTATCTATTAGATATTTTTTTCTTTTAATTCATTTGTTTTTTTTGGAAGCGAATATATGACCCATTTGTAAACAAGTTATGTCTTTCAAGATTAAAAAGTAGGTTTTTCTGCCACTTGAGAGTTGAGGTGTTGATATCAGTAGTTGTAACAAAATGTACAGATCAGATGAATTGGTTATGAGTCAAAATAGATAAA